GATTAGTTAAAATTTAGTAGAAAGCGCGGTCAATATAAAAAAAAACACATAAAATAAAGAGTAGTAACATGAATAGTAATGGTTAATATTGCCTACTGCAATAAAAAAATGAAAAAAAACTTGATAATATATATATATATATATATATATATATATATATATGTGTGTGTGTGTGTGTGTGTGTGTGTGTGTGTGTGTGTTAAATAAAACAGACTACTTTAAGGTTCCATGTAATAAATTATTTCACCACAGCCCTTTTTTTTAAGGAATGCGGATCATCAGACTATACTTCCAAACAAAAAATGAAAAGAAAATTTACACATTTTTGACAGGCCGTATTAAACATATGTAAATTAACGAAGTGAAGAAGTGAGGGGGAGAGAGAAGACATGAGTGAGTTAGCAGATATTGACACATTTAAACGGTTAACGTAACGGAAGTTATGTATTGATATCGAAGGGGTAGAGAAGAAAAAACCCATAGAGAGAAAAAGAGGGAAGGAATTTAAGAGAGAAGAAGATGTCACAAATTTTCTTTGTAAAAAAAGTCTAGAAACAGATGCTGTTATTTTGCTTTACTTTGAAAGTGTTATTTTTGGGGTTCATAAAGATTATAATGTTTGATAAAAATTTGAATGTCTCTAGACTGTCTACAAATAATTTAATTTGATGTTTGTTAGTGATTTAAATTTTTAAAAACTTTGGGGATTTTCTATGAAATAGTCGATTAGAAAAATATTCATAGAAAGTACATTAAAAGAATAAAAAAAAAATATTTAAATTATTTGCTCTGGATTTACATTGAGCTCTCTGGATTTTGTCCTCCTTAGGTTTACCCATACGGATTACCTAGTTTTTCATAAACTAAAATATATATATATATATATATATATATATATATATATATATATATATATATATATATATATGTATGCAATAAAATTTGAAAATAAATACCAGCACAAAATTGATAATATATTTGTTTAACGGCATATCAACTCCTTGTGCCTAAGTGTAATTTTCTTGAGAGCTTTGAAGTAATTTCATTATTTTACTATAAATAAGTATTGATGGCTATTTTGTTGTAAATATTTATTGTTAGTAATTTTAATACAAATATATGTTGTTGGTAATTTTTGTTATATAAAATGTATTGCTGGTATCTATACTATAAGAATGTACTTTTTATATTTTCTTAGTGTTTTCCTTTTGTTTGAGGTTTCGCTGTTTGCCCAAAGTTGCGATCCTAACATCTGCTACCGCCCAGGTCAGAATTGACCTGAGGACAACTGCAATTAAGCGGTTGTTCTATGCTCATCAAAATATCCAATCTCGCGCTCAGAGGCCTTTCTGCCGGATGCTGTTCCTCTCATACCCAGGACTAGATAACTGTTGAGAATGATTCAACTAATAAATATAAACTTGAAATAACATAGTAATTAGAATGAAATAAAAATGGCTGACAGTATTTTATATAATAAAAAGAGAGCTGAAAATAAATAATAGACAAAATATATAATAATTATTGTTAATATTGCCTCATATAATAAACAATGAAAATGTAAGTAATTATCAGCCGAAAATTAATCATTGTTGAAAATGGTAAATAATACAAAAATTAATAATAAAGGTAAAAATAAGAAAAAAATATATGAATTACATTTGAAAAATCGATGGGAAGACGATGAGAAGATTAATTTGGAATGAGACGTAAGTATTCATAAAATATAAGGATTGTAAAGAAGAGGAAAGGAAATGCCTGAGAAAATAATAAACCTTTAATCAATCAACATCAGGACAATATTAGATTTATATTACGCCCAAGGCGAATTGATTTCACTAGCCACTGCGTGTGAGAAATGCATGCTAAATCTCCATCTACAGCAGGTGTATATTCAGCGCAAACTCACGCAAAAATATCCCAAAGGAAAAGGTAACAAAAAAGGACAACGATGAGAAAAAAGATAACGAATTCATCGCAAAAATCCCTTCAACCACAAAACATATATTGACAGAAAACTACTTATGCAACAGCATTGAAATTACACATCATGCAAACGATATTGCTCAAAGCATGTTAGCGAATTTCCCTTGTTCCATGCAACCATCGAAAAAGCTGTTCTGATTGTACAAAGGCACAGTTGATGAATTCCTGCAGGTGTCCATGTTAGCTCCTTAAGAAAAAGAAAAAAAAAGTTTTTGCGTGGTGCGTCTTTAATTCCTCTGGTCCAGAAGTTATGTAGCCGGGGGAGATTCCTAAACACCATGCTCAAAGATCTGCGACTCAAAGAAACCAAACAATGGTGCCAATTTCTGGAATTTCATACGAGAATCGAGATTCAAATATACAATGTACACTACAGATAAATGTTTGGGAACAGCCTATATATCTTTAAGAATCACCTTAAAATTAAGTATATTCCATTTTATAGGTAAAAGATAACATTTCATTTTTCTTGGTAAAAGATAACATTTCCGTATCTACAAGTGTATTTGTTTTTATTTTGATAAAAGATTAAGCACTTAACTATAGAAACATTATCATACAAGAATATCACATTTGTTTTCTTGATTAAAACCGTCATATGTCTTTAGAAATTCTTGAACTTCTATGCAAGAGTTTTTGAAAGAAAAGTATATGGCAGATATTTCCAAGCATTCTTCAAGCATTGAAAAATCTTACTCTCACGCTTTTGGTATTCTCTTTCAAATCTTCTTTCCAATTCAAACTATAATAAATCAATGGGAGAGATGTCCTGAGATTGAGATGGGCAAGTCATTATTTCCAAATTTTTGACATAATTTAGGTGCGTGTTTTCGACCATTGTCTTAGTGAAAGGTGATTCATTTTTTATCATCATGCGTAAACCAAATATGTATTTTCAAAATTAAATTATATTGTACATTTTTCATGTTTTCATTGATGTGAGTCAAATTTCTTGCCTTTTTGGTAATCTCAAAAGTTCTACAGAGATGTGTAATGAAGAAAACAAAATAGCACGCTTCTCATGCTTGTTCATTATTCATAAAAATGTATTATAGACAGACGAATCCAAATTTGACCATTCGCATTATAAGAGGGCACTGAAAAAGAAAACTTCTAATTACTGAAATTGTTTTCTTTTATTTTAATAAAATAAAAAAAATATGTCATTTTAAGCTGTTATTTGTTAAAAAAAGCAGTATGGCCCCACACGTTTTTACTTATAGTATAGATCGTCTTCTCAATAAGGTGAAGTATCTTAGAACTTCATTTTGACATCTGCGTTACACAGCACACATTTTGGGCTGGCCTTTTTGCTAATTACTATTCATACTTTTTATTACAATTGATGGTTAATACATTCCTCCACGCATTTTATATATCTTATCTAGAAATTTAATTTCTGAATTTTCCATTAACACAGTGACAACAGCGTATCTTGTTTTCTTAAAATTGTGTATAAGATTAAAAAATAAATAATTGCTTGATATCCCGTTCTCTTATTGCATTAAAATTTAAATAAATCCAGCGAGAAGACGTATCCTTTTCTTACGCCAGTTCCCGCTGTATTTATTTTCTGTTGAAGCTACAACTGACGAACTAGCGAGTAAGACGTCATCAGAAAAGACCTTGAATTGGCAAAAAATGATCTTGGAATTTCACTCTTTCCACTGGGATTCGAAGAGGTTTTTGTTTTGTTATTAAATACTGCGTGATTCGCTATGCGACGCAGTCTATTTTTTTCCGTTAAAATATTTCTTTTGTCATGGGGGATAATGTAAGACAAAGAAAGCAATAAACAACAGTAGCGACAACAAAGAAGAAAATGAGGAGGATGGAGAGGAATGAAGAAGATGAAGGGGAATCAGAAAAGAAATTAAAGAAGAAAAAAATAAGAGAAAAAAAAACAAGAAGATAACGAGGAAGATGAAGTAGAAGTTGGAAAAGCAAGTAAAAGAAGATGAAGAAGAAAGAAATGAAGAAGCAAAAGTGGGAACATAGAAAAAAGGAAAATGAGGAAGAAAAAAAGGAAGAAGAAGAAGCAATGTAGTGAAGAAGAAAAGTGATGACGTACAAGAAAAAAGAAAAAGAAGATGAAAAGGAAGAATAAGAAAAGAGAAGAAGAAAAGAAGACAAAGGAGAAGAAAAACGATGAATAAAAAACTGTATATGGAAAAGGTAGATGAAGAAGAAAAAAGAGGGAGAAAAGGAAGAAGAAAATAAAATGCAATGAGAAGGAAAAGAAGATGAAGAAAATGATAACAGAATCTCAGTTTTATTTATAATCATCAAAATATATTGAAGAAATTGAAAATAAAATTTACTTTTACCAGGCTTATGTCAAAATTAAACAAAGCTTTATTCGAGTGCAACATATAGCAATCAAAATTATTTTGCAAGGACTGCTTCCTAATTCTCGAGAGAGACTTTTCGCACTTTTATGACGAAATGTAAATTATTATTGATCTAGAAAAAGAGAAGTTGCCAAGATCACGGTCGTCAGCTATAAAAATATTCCTAGCCTAATGTTAAGAAAACATTTACTTAACAGAATATATCATTCTGAAACCAATGACATTTTTCTTAGGATCTGCGAAAATTATAAGTTCTATAGATGCGGAACCTTGAAGAAAAATAGATTCCCATCTAGTCTTTTGCGTTCAGTTTTGCACCAGTCAGGGATTCATCTCTTCTGTTGGGATGCTTTCGCTTAAGTAATTGTGTTTAACATTGGGTGGTATACAGTCTGAATTCAATTATATGAAAAAGGGCAGAGGGTTTATTTGATTGATTGATTGTTTTTTTTTTTACTATTTATCAAGCTTTTGTAGGATATTTAAAACCGAAACGTAATTTTGGATTGTGAGTATAAATATTTTTGAAGAAGTATTTAATTAACAATTTTTGGAAGATAAAAATATTTTTCTGATAATGTAACGAAGAGAAGTGCAATTCGAACTCCGCTCTCCGCGTTCTCATTCCGAACCATTATCTAATACACCGCTAGTATATCCAAGCTTACATCGCCTGGTATTCCCAAGTGGTCACCTATCTAGGTACAGCCCAGACTCGACATTGCTTAACTTTATTGATCGGAGGAAAACCGGTGTTTCAACGCGATATGACAGTAAGCCAAATGCAATACTCCAATATATTTCTCAATATGCAACTGCAATTCACAGATAATAAAATAAGAATATGATGCAGGTCACCAAGTTCCTAAAGGGAGGTAGCATTTAAAACAAACAATTCTCCTTGTCAATGCACTTGATACAATGGGTAATATTAATAAAGGAATGGATATTACACAGTAAACTTTTAATATAAATATTGATTAGCTACGCGACAGCATAACAACTTATTGATATATTTTGTTGATATTATGCTTTTTTTTACTATGTATTGTACTGTATTTTTTGCATGTATTTGTGGAAATGCATTGAGAGTGATGGTTAGAATTTTCATTTTGTAACTCCTTAGGAAATAATACAATTAAACATAATGAGAATGTCAATGATTGTTAAGATAATATTGTTAAATATAATATGTGCCCAATAAGACAGAGAAGCTAATTTCATTATAAAAATGAGAAATTTGTTCAGAATTTTGTAAAAAGAAATTTCAATATAAAAAAAAATCAAATTCTTTTAATTGATATCATGACAACTCTTTATCTCCTTCTCAAAATATATATTATTGAATGCCTTTGTTTCTGGAAAATATTTTGCATCATCAAGACATTGAAGACTAATACAAAATGTATCAGTCTGCAATGTCTTCATGTTGTGTTTGTTGCCCATGTCCCGAAAAAGTTGAATGAGACAATTCTGATAAATTATCAGATTTAAAATATATTCATCGATTTATGGTCGGCCTGTAAATGTTAGTGTGGATAATCGATTTTTTTTTTAAAAATATATATATATCCACGTTAAATTACACAAAAGAAAAATTAAATTTAGCGCACATAATATCTGGGGTTCATTCTCTAATATGAATTCAGATAAAAGTGATCTGTTTATTTGAATCTTCTCGGTGAAAAATAAATACATAGACACACACGCGTGCGCACAAAACACTCATATATATATATATATATATATATATATATATATATATATATATATATATATATATATATGTGTGTGTGTGTGTGTGTGTGTGTGTGTGTGTGTGTGTGTGTGAGCGCATGTGTCTGTGTATTTTTTCACTGAGAAGATTCACATAAACATATATATATATATATATATATATATATATATATATATATATATATGTGTGTGTGTGAGAGAGAGAGAGAGAGAAAAAAAAACTAGTAAAAATAATTCGTTTCCTCGTAGGAATTTGAACTTAAGTCTCCTTAGAGATTTACAGCTTTCCGGCAGAAGAAAATATGAGAAAAGTAGGTTTTATTTTCCTACATATATGGGCGTAGATTCTATCCAACCGGAATCCATATATATATATATATATATATATATATATATATATATATATATATATATATATATATATATATGGTGGGGTGTATTACTCCTACTCAATAAGCTCTATAACAATTTGAAACATAACCGTTACAGCCCTACAATTATAGCCATTGTATAGATGTTTGACGCTGGAGAAATAAAATAAATACCTAAAAAATTAATAAAATAGATTAAACTAAACGAATAAATAAGTAATTACATTAAATAATAAACAAATTAACAAACTACGAACGTGCGCAGAAACCCAAGTAAACATAATAATAACATCTAACAATAAGATTTTAAATACTAACAACATTATAAAAAGAGCCATGAACCAGCATGCGTGTCCACAATAATATCCACTCAATATACACTAAAATAATTCGAAATATAACCCTTATCCTCCATCCAAATGACCTTTTATAATAACAAAAATTACTCGTAATGCATCACTCACCAGTATATATAAATAGTTGAGCTAAATCACAATGTTTATGGTCTGCGAACTTCCTACTCCTTATATTAAGCACTTGAACCCATAAATATATCATACCATAAAAAATAATTAATTTATATATATATATATATATATATATATATATATATATATATATATATATATATATATATATATATATATATATATGAATGAAAAAGATTTTTTTATCCGTTTGGATTGGTATTGCTTTTATGTCCATCGTCTTTTTCATGTTGAATTGTATATGGTCTATGTTAATTATGTTTTATGAATATGTCCTGAAGATGGTCTATTAGACCGAAACGTCCGACGTTGACATTAAGCATTAAAACAGCATAATCGCATATTAGGATTTATGTTTGTTTTTTTCAGTATATATATATATATATATATATATATATATATATATATATATATATATATATATATATATATATATTGTACGCTGGAATTGTGGAGTAATGAATAGCGACTCATTGAGAAATCGGAGAGCCAATCACTTTCACTTACCTGCTACTACCTTTAGCACAGTTATCTGTCTCTACTCCACCCATTTTTGGCGCTAAATAGCAGGACAGAGTGGGGCCCTTAGCCTCACGGGTTCATCAATCTAGGAGCAGAACAACTCTGAATTTAAATTTTGATGGGGGAAACTTGTGGCAGTCTGTGAACCTGTGTCTGTATCTGACTCTTCCAAAAAATATCGTCTCTTCTGAACAAATACCTTATTTAATCTAATAACTATTAACGAAATCATATGTGCTTCTTATCTGTTTGTTTCTAATAACTTCGAAAAACGAAGGTAATTAGACAGATATATTTTGATAATTATTAATTATCTATTAATTTTAACTCTGGACCTTCTTTTAATTTTGTTCATTTCGATTTCTATAGAAGAGAACGTGTTAATTAATGCAAACATTTTTAAAGACTTTCTAGAAAATAAACATTTGAAAAAGATGATTGCGTGTTCATGTTTATTTTGGAAATGAATATTAATAATACTTTTTTATCTTTTTTTCTGTATGTACTTGTGTGCGTTGCTTTCCCTTGTCTCTATTCCCCTCTATTCGACCTGTGAGTATCAGATTTTCCAAACGCTCTTTTCTCATTACGTGTCCCAGAAATTTCATCTGCCTCTTTCTTATGTTAAGTATAAGCTTTCTCTTTGACAAAATTTTTAAATTTGCATTGTTTATTGAAAATCCCATTAAAGCTATTGCATTGTATAACATATTACATTATAATATAGCTAATTTGTTAAACATAATTCCCCTTTGAAGAAAATGAAGGTTTATTTGATAGCACAATGTTTTAATAATAATGTACTTATGCCATGCTTCTTGTCCATATTACACATATAAAGCTACAGAGAATTATAAATTTATAAGTTTTGATTTAAGGATTTCCCTGATCCCATGAATGAAATTCCGAGGCTAACATTTTGAACTTAAAAGTAATATAAATAAATATATTATTTAATTGCATATAATAATAATAGTAAATTCACAATTTACTTGTTTATCAAAAAATTATGAATAATTTGGGGCATTGAGAGAATAACCTCAAGAAAAATCAAATGAATATATTTAAATACTATTTAATATAAATTAAATAACTGGTTTTCTCAAATGGTGGTACCAATTTGGGACAAAATGTTTTGTGTCATTATTTGTCATGTGAAACCCTAATTTCCAATTTGAGTATATTATCAGTATTCTAAACTCGACCTTTCCTATTAGACAATCATAAAAATACACTTTAAATATTTGTGAAGCGTAATAAGAAAATATTTCGTGAATTTAAAATCCATAGGCCACACTAAATGACACAGAGAAAGTGTCACATTTTCAAAGTAGAGTAATAAAGTCGTAAAAAGTATTTACTAAAAAATGGAAGTTGTGAAGAGCCATAACAACTCATGTATTGAAAGAAGAATAAGCTGATGATTCCAGGTTTCAGAAGATCAAAAATAGCAGTGCAACTATCATTTTCATTAATTAATTTGTTTAATAACTTAGATCAAGTACTGTATTTGTCTCTCTCTCTCTATCTATCTATCTATCTATCTATCTATCTATATATATATATATATATATATATATATATATATATATATATTTGCATGTATGTATGTATTTATGTTTGTATATACAGTTGAAGGAAACAATAATCATGCGCTTAAAGTATTTAATTTATTGTATTTCCAATTAATGAATGAACATAATTCTCTTATAATTAACTGTATATAGATGTGTCATAAATATGCATAGAAGACAGAAATACTTTTGACTGAAAAGAAACAAATTCCGTTAATTTATTTTAACAAGTAAAAAAGTATTTCTACAATACAAAAAAGAGAATCTTTATTTAATACTTTGTAGAACAGATATTATTTACTGCTACAGAAACCAACCTCTTCTCGTAGTTATCAATTCTATTTGTTATTTTGTTTCACTCTTCTACGCTTATGGTCGTCAGATTAGGAATGTTTGTTGGAGCTCTCGATTGGATTTGAATTTTCAAATAATGCCACAAATTCTCGATTGAGTGTAAATCTTGTGACTGACTTGGCCATTTCTGGGTATTTGTATTATTTTCAACAGGCCATTTCCTCGTAGATTTTGCAGTCTAAATTGGATCATTACCTTGTTGGAAGATCGAATCAGTTCAAGAATTTCAAACGAAATTTTGAAATTTCCTTCCAAAATATTTTGATAGGCTGCGGCATTCATTCATAATCTAGTACTGATATGTTGCCAGTACTTTTTGCTGAAAAACTTCCCCAAATCATGATGCTACCAGCACCAAATTTCACTGTTGAAACTGATTTTTTTTTAAGGTATCGCCATCTTTCCTCCATAAATGATTTCTATAATTACGTCCAAAAAACTCAATTTTGGTTTAGTCTGTTTATAATATTCTTTCCCAATAGAATTCTTGCCTTCTCCTTACGTTCACGAACGAATTTCAAACTGGCATGTCTGACTTTTCAATAGCAGAGGACTTTTTCCCGAGGGGAGCGTGGTTTTAGATTGTTCCTATGAATTTCATTGCTTATGGTGTGTTTAATGACACAGATTCCTGAGAAAAGCAAATAATCTTGCAACTTTTGAGGAGTAACCATTGAATTTTGTTAAATCTGACGAATTATTCTCCTCGAAGATCTTGAAGAAGTCTT